ATTAATGGAGCCATAAAATTAGATACTATGTTTTCTTAATCTGAGCAGAGTGTAATGCCTAAATACTTAATTCCCTCTGGGATCCATTTAAAACTGGAATTTACCAAATATTGATAGATTCCAGATGACTTGTTGCATCCTCTTGATATTGGTATATACTTTCAGATTTTTGCTTATTTATTTTATGGCCTGATATTTTTGAAAAAGATTCAATTGTAGATTGAACATTAGAAATTTACATCGTGGAGTCCTTTATCAATAATAAAATATCATAAGCAGACACAAACATTTTATCTTCTTCTCCCCTGACCATTTAAAACTAGTTTCTGCCTTCATTGCAATAGCCAGGGTTCCAGGAATAGTGTGAAGATTAGGGCTGAGAAGGTCTCCCTGTTTGGTCCATTGCAATACGTTAAAGAAGGGCTATATGATCCCATTTGTTATTTGTATATTTCAGCTCTTTGATCTGAATGAATTATGTTCACTCATTTAATTAAAACTTCACCAAACAAATATTCTTAGGCCATTCTGCAAGAAAGCCGACCCCACCTGATGAAATGTCTAATGAGCATCCAAAGAGAAGTCAGCTATTGAAGTGTTTTCACTACCATTGCCATTAGATGACCTTCTGGTATAGCATTACTAGTCTCCTATTGATGTAATTGCCTGGCCAATAATTTCCCAGATTCTTCTCAACAAATAACTGAAAGATACAGTGTATATAATTTAGTGACATCTAGTGGTGAAGTTGCATGTTGTAGCCGAATATCCCTCATCTCATCCTCTCCTTCCAAACATGAAAGAGAAACTGTGGTAGCCTTCAGTTGCAATAAAAAGGTGAAGGTGTTTAGTTTGTCCAGTCTGGGCTACTGTAAAAACATGACGGCCTCCCTAGAGAGGATCCGCTCCTGATGTAAATATAAAGGGCCCATTCTTGAGTAAAGAAAACATTTCTCTCAAAAGATCCATTTCACCTAAATCTCACACACTGAATCTTGTAGATTTCAGGTCACAGATCCGAGTGTCCTGAAACAAGAGATATGTTCAACCTCCATCTGTTTTTATTTATCCTGTCTGGCTCTAGTACTAACCCTAGTTGCACTGCTGCATGGTCAGTCAGTTAAATGCAATATATATCTAATTATGCAATCTGAGAACTCCACCAGATCCCTGCAAAAATAATCTATCCTGGAGTGAAATTTGGGACTATGGTAATAGAATGTGTATTCCCTCTCTTTTGTATTAACAAAGCTCCAAATATCCATCAAACCAAGGTCCTTCATAAGTAATTTGTTAAGCATCTTATGTGCTAAAATAACAACTCAGTCTTTTTTTAAATTTGGCCATCTGATCAACCACGTGAGTTTCTTGTACAAAAGACATACAGTAAGCATTTTCTTCATTTTATGGGATTTTTTTAGCCCATTTTCATTATAGGCCACTATTCTTGCACATCTAGCCCTAGCTTAACAGATGATTTGCACTCATACTGAGGTGATAACTGGCATAAGAGTGGATGCCGTGAACAGAAAAAAAATTAATAAAGAGATGCTGAATGTGATGCTAATTTGCTTTTAAGAATGTAATTACATATATTGATATATTCTCTCCATTTTTCCAGAGTTCTAGAGAGTCTGCTGGTTGCCATGGTGACCACTGTGGTGATATTTGCAGCTTCCATACTGTTAGGTGAATGTCGTGACCTGCCCCCCCCCACATCTCATAACATCACAGTAAGTATCAATACAGTTTTTTCTTCTCCACTGAATTAGTCAATTAGTATTTTGAGTGCAGTGTACATTTGACAGAATTTTGAAATACCAAGGCATAACTGAGGCCAGAAAACGAACTATACAGTCTTCTCACCAGACTCCTCACTTTCAGCGTCATGTATTTAAATACTCATATTTGTTTTTTGTTTTTTTCTGTTTTAGCTGTCTGGCAGTGAGGACATCAATTCAACCATCCGTCAGTTCTTCTGTACCAATAAGACCTACAATGACATGGCCACTTTGTTCTTCAATCCACAGGAAGCTGCCATCCACCAGCTCCTCCACCAAGATGGTGAGAGCTACAACAAAACACAATAGCTCTTTTAGCTTAACCACATTATTCTGAAATTACCCCTTGGTACAACCCAGGAGAGGTCTAGGGATACAGGAAGTAACACAAGTGCCAGATTTAAACAGGCAATCACAGCCATTTTATTGTTGAGACCGAGTGAACGATTCAGTAAAAGAAACCCGGTGAGGAGAAACAAGGGGAATAGGGCTGGGGTTGGCGTCAAATCATCAAATTCAAAAAAACAAAATCAACCTTCCTAGCCCTAAACGAATAGTCAAAAACAATAGGAATAAAATATTAATTAACAAAACACATCGGTGCGCCCATTAAGTAGGGGCGGCTTGGGCTGATGAGATGAAACGGTTTTCCTCTATAATTAGAAGGTCGGCGGTTCGATCCCAATCTTCCACCTCTGCATGCAGAAGTGTCCTTGGGCTAGATACTGAACTACAAATTGCCCCTCATAGAAAAAGGTGCACTGAAGATGCACTGTATAAATGTGTGGGTGAATGGGTGAAAAAAACTACTTTAAAGAGCTTTCAGTGGTCATCAAGACTAGAAAAGCGTTATATAAATTTACCATTTAACAACAAAAATCTATGTGCATGTATGTAGTTGAATGTGAATGAATGTGAATGAAACATACAATATTGAGTTAAGCCTACATCCCACTATCTGAGGACACAATTGCCTCAAAACTAGTTAACAACAAAATACTCAAATAGGTAACAATCACAATTTAACATGATACACAACCACTGGTTAACAATCACGAGTTACCATAATAAACAAGAGGCTCATAGGCAGACTGCTCACACAAAATCACCCCTGGCTTGCCAAATGCTGACATTGTAATACTATTGTAATTATATCATTGTCTGACCCTCTCTTATGCTTAAAGGTCTAGTGTGTGATTCAGGTGAAAGAGATCTATTAGCAGAAATTTAATGTAGAATAATCCTCATGATGTTTTCACTAGTTTGTTTCATCTAAATTGCATGAATTGTAGTTTTCTTTACACCAGAAAAGGCCCTTTATATTTAAATACTTTATATTTACATTGAGGGGGTCCTCTCTACGGAGGCTGCCATGTTTTTTACATTTGTCCAGACTGGAAAAACTAAACACCTTTTGAGTTTTTATGACAACTGAAGGCTACCACAGTTTCTTCTTCATGTGTAAAAGGGGAGGGTGAGGTTAGGGGTATTAGCTGCAACATGAAATTTCAATACTAGATATCACAAAATTCTACGCACTGTACCTTTAATAGATAGATTGTACTCCTGAACCAACAAAGCCCAGCATATTCATCTTTGCGTATGATTATGGCTAAAACTGAGGAGTTGCGGTTGACTGTTTCTACACTGATATGTTAATGATAATTTAAATTGGAGATCAGTAAATCTGTACATCAGAACTCAAGTCACTTCATTTTCACATCAACTAATTTTCATCAAGCAGGATACACACTATAATACAGGTTAATACATTGTAGAGTATAAAGAGAATGAACAGTATGAACTCCTTTTAAAGTAAGAAGTTCTTAATTCTAAATGAGTTGTTAGTGCAAGCCCTGCCAGCGGGAGCTCATAATTTAGTAGAGTTGCTAAGAAGCCAGTACCTCCTGAGTACCTTCCAGTGAAGGTTTTCTGTGCATGTCCAACTGATAGGAGATCCCTATGCCAGACGCACAACACTCTGAAAAGATATCTCATTCCCACTGGTCTGGGAATGGCAAATAGAACTTGACCTTCAAATCGGTATTAATGGCACCCCATAAGAGCATGTCCCTGCGTCCATCAGGTTCAGCTTCAATTCAGGTTCAGTCCTCATGATTCAGCTACAATGTCTGGAGTCAGTTTTGAACATTTCAGGTAAATCCTATGATATTTGAACCAGAAGGACTACTTCATGTTTCCAGTAGGTGGCGCAATGTCCCTGGATGAATATTGTTCGTTGGATCTTTTCAGGCCAGTGATTTCACAACCACTTGCTGTTTGTTGGTGTTCCATCAAAGGTCACGTCATCGCCATTAAACGTAAGGGCTTAAGTGTCACAACATGGCGTCACCAATGTCTCAAGGCTTCCTTGGCCAATTTTGAGGTGGATAAAATGAAAAAGCTAGGTGTAGAATGTCAAAGTATAAAACATGGCACTACCTGTCACAGTTGTGACTATTATACTATAGTATATTGGCATAAAGTTTTGTTCAGAGTGGGACTCTTATCACACATATAAAGTTTGATTGGATTGCAGGGATTGTAGCAAAAACATGGAAGTTACAGCTACTTTAAGTTGCAGGGTGAGACATCGTCGCCAAGCCACAAGTTTTCATTGTATTTCCTGTTACAGCTAGGGGGCACTATGCCTGTTAATAATTATTATATGGATCTCTTCTTGGTGTGAACTCTGTTGTACATGTGTGTACAATGTACATCGATGTTATAAGTAGTTCCTGTTTACTCGCGAATCATCGAAATTCATCGTCACGCCATGGCCACACCCCCTGATGAAAACTCATTCAAAATGATAGCTAACATAAATAAGTCGACATAAACCAGATTTGAAGTCAGGAAATCTGTTGCAGTAGGATTTTTATAGCATGTGTGAAAACGCCAAAAATCATGCCAAATTTGCATTTTCAATCCAAAATGACCAACATCCTTTTGGGTGAGGCAAATTTTATGTGTAACTAGAAATGATACATGTGTGCCAAATTTCATTTCTCTAGGCGAAAGTTAATAAATATAAAAGACCTAATAGAATATGAGACGCCTTTTGTGATATATACAGTAGTATTCCTGTAACGGATTTAAGATTTCTTACCAACCAATTGATGGGCGCAGACTTGTTAACACTTCTAGGACACTCTACTTCCCCCTGCTTCCAATCTAAAACTTCTATTGTGGATGCTTACTCCTAAAGTCACATTCTTGTGACTTCAGCTTTTGTCCAGGAGATGTCATCAGGTGGCTTTAAACCTTCGTTGAGCGTTTCTGCGCTAAACTACAGCATCCTCTTGTTGGAGGGTCAGCAGTGATAGCCAGTCACTGCTCATCTTCTCTAAGTTTTCAGTTTAACTACTCCCTCTTGTTCCAGAGCCAAAGTGGCTCTCTGCTGCTTCCCCCAACCTGCAAACAGTTCCCCTCCTCTCCTTCCAAGCCACTCCAGAACTGTGAGTGGGTTCCACTCAGACTGCGCAAGAAAATATCTGGAGTCGACCAACAGAGTAGCCAGGCCTTCCCCTTGGTACTTGGCAGCTTTCCCTCCCAGGCCTCATCACAGCCATCTTTCCAAAGGACCATCAGTTCCATCAGGATGATTTTCTTCCTCCTGAGGATGAGGTCTGGCCTCACGGATGTTTGGACAACCTGGGGGAAGTGTGGTTTCTTCCATCCGCATCTCCCCTGAGATTGGGCTGGCATAATTTAATAATTTGTTTGCTTGGTAACTTTGATCAGATTTTACAAAAAGTACTTAAACCCACCAATGCAGACCCCAAATTAAATACACTTGGTATGTTTTTAATATTTTTTTTTCAGTTTTTTGTCTTTATTGTATCTTTCTTTTGAATTCTATGCAAAGTGTCTTTGAGTCCTAAATCAAAATCATAAGACAAATACAATGTAGTATTATTAAAGGTTTCCAGCAAAAGTGGATTGTTTTTTAATATTTGTTTTTACAAGAATACAAAAAAATGTGTCCTCTGAGTGGCAATACTTCTTCATTCCAGATGCAGATGTCTCTTTTTAAGTGCTGTGACAGGCTGGCCAGACCAGGACTAGCTGGTGAAGATACTACCTTCAGTAGTAGTACAGAAGAAATACCTAGACGCAAAGCATAAATTAACGTAAACATTGCTTTTCACTGGAGACAGCTCTTGGCAAGTAATGAAATTTGTTGCTGAACTTGCTGTTTCTACAAGATCAGTAAATAAAAAGCTGTTAATGCTGGTTATGTATTAAAATTTACAGTTACTACTTACTTATTTTGTGTGCCACATAACTTAGGTGTTCATGGTATTATTGGAAATCCCATCCTATGGACTATTTAAGTGCTCTCTTTCTCTCTCTTTGAGTGCAGGTTTTAAAATGTCAGTAAAATTGCTCTGTTTCAGGTGGTATATATATTTTTGCTGACTGGTTATTGCCTTCCTTATTGCCACAGGTACCTTCAGCCCTGTGACTCTGTCAGTGTTCTTCGTGCTGTACTTCTTGTTGGCCTGTTGGACCTATGGTGTGTCTGTACCCAGTGGTCTCTTTGTACCCTCACTGCTCTGTGGGGCGGCTTTTGGACGTCTGGTTGCCAACATCCTCAAAGTGTAAGAACAATGTGCTCCTCGTGTTGTAATGACTGCATGCCTGCTCCCCATCCCCAATATCTATAAACCATCAAAAGTAACAAAAACAAGTAGAATTATGTGGCTTTGAGGGCACTTTACCCTCCACCCCACTCACCTTACGCATTACATCAAACTTAGCTTTTCCACCTAATGGACTGATCCTGGTTCTTATTGTGTGTTTGTGCTGTGGTAGGAAACTAGGAATGGACATCTATTCAGGGACCTTTGCTCTCATCGGAGCCGCTGCCTTTCTCGGAGGCGTGGTCAGAATGACCATCAGTCTGACTGTCATCCTCATTGAATCCACCAATGAAATCACATACGGGCTGCCTATCATGATCACTCTAATGGTACTGTCATGCTTTGTATTTTAGCATTTCCTGCAATTAGCCACTCGAGACTGTCTGTGGAGATTCTTCATCCATGTCAAAGTATATCCAAGTTCTAATAAACAGGTCAACTGGACTTGGTTGAGTTTCTTTAAGCAGTTCACCTCTAATCAAAGATGCTTTTTCAGTTCACTCCTGACCTGAAGAGCTGGCTCTCCACAGCTGTGCCATGCATTGAGAGGGGTTCACAGTGTTGTTCCATTGATCCTACCGAAACAACGTTGTGATCCCTTATCTTGCTGGACTATCTGAAAAAGTCCATAAGGGATTTTCAACAAACACCACATCCCAGTACATTCCAAGCCCACCAACACACTGAGACAGAAACTGGTCCATCCCAAAAACAAAACACCCAGACATGAGCAGAGCAATGTAGTATATGCAGTTGAATGTAGTGAGGAATGCACAGATCTCTACATTGGTGAAACCAAACATTTCCACATTTTGGCCAAGGAAGACAGATGGTTTGAAAGAGAAGTGAAGGAAGCCATCTTTGTCAAACTAGAGAAATCTTCTCTAAACAGAGGAGGAGGAGGTTTAAGACCCTACCCATTTGACATATACAACACAGTCTTGACTTCCATCCCCTGGAAGTTTCACTACAATTTACACCTTAGGACACGTGAGTCACAGGGTCAACAACCTGCAAATGACTCCCAACAAAACCAACAGCAAATTACTCCTAACAACCCTCTAAATGAAATACTTGGGACTCATAGCAGCCAGTTAGTACTGAAGAAGCAGCTTGGGTGAGAGTTGACCTGTTTTTTAGCTCTTGGTTACAGCCACTCTACTGTTAATCAATACAGTTTCAAGCACCTACAACAGTCGAGAGAAAAGAGAAATATCCATCATTAATTTTAAAATGTATGTTTTATGAATTGAATTGAGGTACATCCCTTTGATGGTGTCAGATGACATCAACCAAGGTCGTACTCCAGCTTGACACTGAAGTAGTCTATAGATAAATTGAGGAATCTGTCTGTGTTTTGATATTCTCAATAAATGTTAAGTCGATTGATTTCCTACTTTGGCAAGTGTTTAGTGAAGAACCCAAGGAAGTGCATTATCCCCTGAATTGTCAAGTTGTCCAGATAACTGACAGATTACTCCATTTATAAACAAAAGAAGAATACTTGACTATAAAATGCTGTGTTTAACACATTCAAGTATTTCCTGTTGGGTTCATGTGGTAAATGATGTTGTAAATGGTAAATGGTTGTATTTATATAGCGCTTTTCTAGTCTTGATGACCACTCAAAGTGCTTTACACTACGGTTGTGTTTATAAACAGGTTGCCAAATGGACTGGAGATTTCTTCAACAAGGGCATCTATGATATCCACATTCAACTAAGAGGAGTGCCACTGCTGGAGTGGGAGACTGAGGTTGAGATGGACAAGTAAGAGTTATCATCTAATATGCAAGGCTACGGTTTGGGTTTTTCTTGGGCACACAGATATTTTGTCATTTATCCTTTGCTTATAAGGTGTTGTGATTATACTACATTAAACGTGGCACCATTAACTCGTGTGCTTTTGGGCATTCAATAAATTTGGCTATCAGAAAAAAAATTTAATATTAATATTAAATAATACTTTTAATTGATAAAAGATAAATCGGGGCACCACCCTTCAAATGAAGGGAAAATATAGCCAATTTTTTGAATCAGTCTAATGAAATTACTGACTACAAATTTGGAACTCTTATAATTAAATAAATAACTATAACCAAAATTACCACATCAATAGGTAGCAAAGTTGAGGGATATGGAGTTCTTGACAGTGTAGAGGTCTGCAAAATTCACACTTATGCAACATAAATAAAGATGTGTTTTAAAGAGAAACATTTATTATAAACACACAAACTAACAAAAGATGTACTTACTATATATAGATGTGCAGTGAAGTGGTCTTGTTGGTTTGTGGCTCCTTTTGTGCATCTGTTGGTCAGACCTTGTGTCATGGCCAGTTGAAGCCAGCTGAACTTCTTAGGTAGGCTCTGGTGTCGCTGCCTTTTGAAGGTTTTAGCAGTCTTCTCCAGACAGGCCTGCTTGAAGTTGAGGAGCTTGTGTAGGGAGGAAGTCTCCCTGGCTGAGCAGGAGCAGTACCTACTCCTCCAGGAGCAGTCAGTAGGAAAACAAAGAAGAGGAGATAGAGGAGAGAGGAAACTCGGCTTTTATTGGCCTTATGAACTCATGGGTCATGGGGCACACAGTGACCAATAGTGGTTGAAAGTTGTCTCCAGGAGCCATTTTACCATCAATATGTGAAGATGACGCACCCTGGGGGACTGAGTTCTGGAAGCTCTCCTTTGTCTTCAGAGCAAAGGAGACATGTGGTCAGGCTTTTGACTACACATCTAGGCCCAACAATGGTTCACAGATACCAGGCCCCAACAATGGTGTATTAGTGTCATCTGAGGGCAGGAGATTGTAGATTTTATTTCCAATAGTTACAATTGTATAATTAAAGAAGGTCATAAAGATATTGCTATTCAGGGATGGAGGAAGGTGTGACTCTCTGTCAGCCTGGCTACAGTGCTGAAGAGAAACCACGGGTTGCTTTTATTTATTCTATTAATGTGGATTAGTAGGCAGCTTTTGTTTTGTGGAGGGCCTTCTTATATGGTGGTGGCGCGTGTAGACATAGCGGCCCGGTACCCCCCTTTCGAGCAGTTACACATTAAGAAGGACTTTTATCCGAACTGAATTTATCAGCCTGAGACAACACAGGACCAGCTTGATCCCCCCAGAAGGGTTTGACTCGTTCTCGGGGCAGATACGGATGGAAAGGCGCTGCGAAAGATGCCGGAAGTGAGGCAAACGAGCCGGCATCAGAACTAGGCTAACCGCATAAACCAGCGGTTCCAAGCATTTTTCTCGCCAACGTTCGCTCCTTGGTTAACAAGATGGATGAGATTAAACTACGGGATGTTAACAACCGGATAGACAGCTGTGTCATGGTGAAAACAGAGACCTGGCTGCATCAAAACATCCCGGACCTAGCCGTGGAGCTAGCAGGTCGTACAATCTTCCGGGCGGACCGCACATCAGATTCCGGTAAGAGGAGAGGAGGGGGTGTGTCTATATTAACAACAGTTGGTGCGGACGCTGCCATCATTGAGAAACACTGCTGTCCAGACCTGGAGTTTCTGTTGTTGAAGTGCAGACCTTTTTACTTGCCCAGGGAGATAACCCAAGAGTTTGTAGCTGCTGTGTATATCCACCCAAGAGCTAAGGCTAACGTAGCCATGAGCAGGCTGCATGACAGGGTCACCAGGCAACAGATCAAACACCCAGAGGGCTTTTTCATCGTTGCTGGAGACTTTAACCACACCAATCTAAAGACTGTGCTCCCGGGATTTTACAAGAATGTTGACATTCCCGCAAGGAAGGGCAGAACACTAGACCAGGTCTACACCAACATCTCTGGAGCCTACAGAGCCCGTCCCTCTTCTCACCTCGGACACTCAGACCATCTTTCCCTGTTCCTGACACCAGCTTACAAGTCCCTCATCTGCAGGTCTAAGCCACAGTACAAGGTAGTGCAGTGCTGGACTGAGGAGGCCACACTGTCCTTGAAGGACTGTTTTGAGGACACCACATGGGAGCTCTTTGAGGACCCAGACATTGAGCTCCACACCTCCTCTGTACTGTCATACATCAGTTTCTGCATGGACAATGTAACATCAAGGAAACAGGTGAAAATATTCCCCAACCAGAAACCCTGGTTTAACGCCAATATCAGAGCACTACTCCAAGCCAGGGATTCAGCACTGAGGTCAAAGGACAGGGAAGCCTACAGGAAGGCTAGAGCGGACCTGAACAGAGGCACCAAGGCTGCTAAAACAAAGTATAGAGAGCAGATAGAGGCCAACTTCAGGGAGAACAACCCCCGCTCCATGTGGAAAGGCATCCAGAATATTACGGACTACAAACAATGGCACAACACTACCTCCCCCACCGACACTTCTCTCCCAGACCAGCTTAACACCTTTTTCTCCCGCTTTGAAGAGGACAGCAGACAGGCAGAGGACACACAGCTGACAACATCAGAGCAAGACCAGCCCCCCACCATCCAACAACACCAGGTACTGCGAGTCCTACGTGGCATCGACACCAGGAAAGCACCAGGACCGGATGGAGTACCAGGGAGGGTGCTGCTCATCAGCTTGCTGTATTCACTAACATCTTTAACCATTCACTGCAGCAAGCCACAGTTCCCACCTGCCTGAAAACTGCCACCATAATCCCTGTGCCCAAATCCTCTGCCATCCCAGGATTGAATGATTACCGGCCTGTGCCCCTTACACCGGTAATCATGAAATGTATGGAGAGACTGGTATTACAGCATGTCAAGGCCCACATCCCACCTGGCTTTGACCAACATCAGTTTGCCTACAGGTCCAACAGATTCACAGATGAAGCCATCTCCATCGCCCTCCACACCACTCTTAGCCACATTGAAAGCCACAACACATATGTCAGGATGCTGTTTGTTGACTTCAGCTCGGCATTTAACTCCATCAGCCCCAGCCGACTCATCAACAAACTGCAGACACTACAACTTGGAACTTCCCTCTGTCTGTGGATCAAGGACTTCCTGACTAACAGACCCCAGCATGTCAGAATGGGCACCTCCACCATCGTCCTCAATACTGGTGTTCCTCAGGGCTGTGTGCTGAGTCCAGTCTTGTACACACTGTACACCTATGACTGCGTCAACACTCATGGCTCCAACACTCATCAAATTTGCAGACGATACAACCGTCGTGGGGCTGATTAACAACAATGATGAGGCACCATACAGAGAGGAGGTCCAAGCACTGGTGCACCTGGTGCAGTGACAACCACCTCAACCTCAACACCAAGAAGACAAAAAAAAGGGAGGAAGTGGAACGGATCAATAGCTTCAAGTTTCTTGGCCTGCACATCTCAGAGGACCTGGGCTGGACTGTAAAAACCACCCACATCATAAAAAGCCCAATCTTCTTTTGGAGAACACTGAGGAGGAACAAACTCCCCCGACCTCTGCTGAAAAACTTCTACCACTGCACAATAAAGAGTATCCTCACATATGGATTTACAGTCTGGTACGCCAGCTGCACTGCATCTGAAAAGAAACAACTGCAGCGGTCATCAAGACGGCTCAGAGGATAATCGGCTCACCCCTTCCACACCTAGAGGAGATCTACTCCAGCTGTCTCCTCCGACGGGCCACAAAGATCTGGGATGACCCCGCCCACCCAGGATTTAGCTACAGCACTATCAATTAGACATCTAGAAAAGGGGGTTTTAATTAATGGCATGTAATCTGATAATAGGCAATTGAAGGTTATTAAAATATCGTCTGATAGAATCGGATTATGTGGAGCGACACCACAGGAGCAGTATTGAAGCATTTTAAGAAGTGTTTTCACTGTACTAACATTTCTGTATCGGTACCAGTACCAACATGTATTTCGATACTTTTCTGTACTATTCCAAATAAAAAGAGACCTCAAAAAATGTCATTATTTACTTTATTTTAATAGAGAGATTGTTATCCATATTTATGCATTTGTTGATCATACACATAATTCCGATATTGTATAATGTGCAAATTACTGCGGTACACAAAATGATTAAACAGAATAGCAGTCTGTCAGTACTTATTTCTTACTCTTGGAGTTCTAACCCTTTTATGCATTTGATTGTAGATATCAACTATCACACAACATTGGTGAATTCTATCACTGCTTATCTTTTGTCTTCATGTTATCTTTGTGCAACATCATTTTTCCAAGACTGACAGCGAGTGATATCATGGAGCCCAACTTGACTTATGTGTACCCCCACACCCGAGTCCAGTCTCTTGTCAGCATACTGCGTACCACTATCTACCATGCCTTCCCAGTAGTCACTGAAAACCGGCAGAATGAGCGGGAATTTGTGAAGGGCAACATCCTGGTCAGCAACAACATTCGCTTCAAGGTATGTACCACTCAACAATTAAGCTCTAAGGACCTGATCTACTAAGATCCCAAATAAAGAGTGCTAAATTGCATGTGCATTATAACATATTGCATGTTTGGTTTGTGGGCCTTTTGCGGTTTGTATTTTAAAAATAATTGCTCAAATGATAACAGGTGCAAACATGGTAGAGGCAGTAGTATTTAAATTAGTGTATTGCATGTGTTGCTGGTTTGCCGCTAGGGAGCATTACAGAGAGCAGAGTGACTGCAAGTGCATAGGATCATTGGAAGAGGCAAACAACCGTGTTGAGCTACAGCAAAAAATATTAATATAACTCAAAGAAACACGATATAGGAGAGTACCTGCGAGAAAGTAAATGCTGTGGGTAAAACAAAAACTGATGAAATAAAGAGAAGATGGTAGACAGGAAGAAGAAAAGAAGAAAAAAAGAAAAATTGGCTCATAATAAAACCTCTGCAAATAAAACAGGTGGGGGGCCAGTGGAAGAGATGCCTCTGACCAATATTGTGCAGGAGGTGAGAGCTGTGTGTGCTGGTCAGCGCTGTATCTGGTGTGACAATGGCCATCAGTGCAATGGCAAGAGAGCAGAAAAAAAACATTCTCTCTGTCTTCTCTCATGCCATCTCGTCCTCACCACAATAACTGCAGTCATCTGTGTCGATTAGCACTTACCTTTCAAACTTACTAAATATAGACACAGTCACAACCACCGCAATTTTTTTCAGGTGTGCTAAATTAAAGTATTTGCATCTACTCCTCCCAATATTTTGCACACTCGGGTAGAAACAGCCCATATTGCATATTCATTAAGGCGAACGTACTAAATGAACAGCGCGTGTTATATACTGCACGCAATCCTGTGCACTGTTAGTAGATCAGCTGGCATTTTTTTTGCAGGTGAAATCATACAGAGTTGGAAAGAGAAATGGGGTTCAGTATCTACATTTCAGGTTCAGAAACACATCTTTAATGATGGTGCCAACAATGTACAATGTGCTAGTAAGGCATAAAAATAAATTATGTCTATCAAGATTTATGCCGATGCGCTTTTCTTGTCTGGTAGTTGTCCGATGAAGCCATTAGTCAATTAGACATTGCACTTTTATGATATTGTAGTGTTGGAACAGACCAACTGAAGGCAGGATGGCAGTTTATAAGTAACTGTTCTAATAAGATGAATCAAACAGTACACACAAAGTTCAGCCACATATTAACAACATTAACTGTGCTGCCTTCAAAAAATCCCAGATCTCGCCAAAACTCCCTTCAACTCCACCAAACAGCAGCATATACACTGACTGCCTTAACATGTACTCTCCTGATTGGCTAAGAGACAGGAGATTGTTTGTGCAACTGGACAGGGGTCACCAAAATATTAATTAAATTATTTACATATATATTTTTTGGGCATGAAAATATGTTGAGTTCCAAGGGGAAACACTGAAAACATTAAAATACATGAGATGTCCAAATGAACAAAGGGAAAATAAAATATCAGTTTGTACCTGCTAATTGGTTCATATATTATCTATTGCTAAACTAATGCTGAGTTACATGCTATTTGTGACGTCACAAAATTTGTTTTAGCCATTACAGAATAATTCAGAATTTTACAAAATTTAACACAAATGTCTAATTGATAAAGCAATGAAGTGATGGTGACCATACGGTAAAAGGTCAAGTTCACTGATATTTAAATGTTCTGTAGAGACACAATTATTCAACACGATGACTCAAGAAGCAAAAGTTGCTGCAACTTTATAAGATTACCGTGGATGTTTCTTGCTGCTGAAAAGTGTGTATAGGTGTTAGAAGATACGTGTGCACCACCACAGCAAGCTTTTATATCAGTGTTAACTTCTGTCACATGCAGAAATCCAGTGTCATGTCCCGTGCGGGGGAACAGCGGCGACGCTGTCAGTCAATGAAGTCATACCCATCCAGCGAGCTGAGGAATGTTTGTGATGAACAGAATGCTGTGGTAGAGCCTGCAGAAGAGGGAGAGGACCTGCTGCAGCAGATGTTAGAGAGGAGGTAGGACACAAACATAGGTACACCAGTACACAGTTCCATCCATACACATAGAGTTTAACTTAAAACCAGACTTGATTAAAATAATGAAAAGGGATATTTTATAGATTATTAATCTGTTGATATAACATGTAAGGTTTAAAGTATTTAATGGAAGACAAAGCAAACAAAGAAATGTACTGTATTTCTTGTTTATGTATGCATTTCCTGAGTAGCTAAAAGCTCTACCTCCCATTCTATGGGGTGCTGTTTGTAAAGCAGCTCACGATGAAAATAACAGCAACATTTTGTCACATTTAGCTTCAAACCATGTTTAAAAAACTKGTGTGAATTTTTGAGAGTCAATTTTTTGCACATTTACAACAATATTTGTCAACTTAGAGATATTTTAAATATT